TATATTTTCTAGGTTTTGCAGGCAGACCTTCGTTTCTTTGATAAATTTGTAAATTGGAACAGGCTAGTTGAAATTTACACGTCCTTCTAAAACAGTTTTTAGGGGAAAATATCAAAATATTTAAAAATTTTAAAAAGTACTACAAATCGAATTAAAATGCTATATTTTGTACACTTTTCAAATTCCTAAAACTTGAGTTCAAACGTCAAAGATATGCTATCTCATGTATTAAAGACATTTAATAAACCATACAACATCACTTTCTAAATCAAATTTGAAGAAAACTAGTTTAGTTTTAATAGTTCATGCTGAACTTAAAAACCTGGAAACCTATTAAAATATATTTATCTTTGCTATGGCATTGATGTAGAAAGTAAGTTTCATGTATATGATTAATATCGTTGTTTAGGGCTTTCGTACGCGTGAAACCAATCACGGGAATATTGCGCCAATTTATTACAGAGTCGCAGTAAGCTTTACCATTTCTTGGCTTCTAATGATAATATTCAGTACACTGTGTACATATTGCGCCTATGTATTCTCAGGAATAGGCCCACAGCTGCAAGTACTTTTTGAATTGCAGACAACGTTCAATTTTTTTACACTAGATATTATTTTATGTTCCATAGTTCTCTTGCCAAACGACTGAGTGATTTACTTCTTTCAAAATCAAATTGAAAACTTAGTCTCATTTAAAAAAGTAAAAGAATTTAACGTCAAATTTTGTTCCTAGGTCACTTCTTTATCGGTCTTTGGTATAATCCAATGTATATAAAACATGATCCCAGCTCAAGGATATCATTACACATGTGTCACTTGGTTGTTAGGATCAATAGTACAAAATATAATCTGAATATCAGGAATTAATTTTTTAAGTATTTAACTTTTTGATACTTGAAGTTAACTTTTAACACGATCATACTAAATAAAATCAGAACTTACCTATTGTTAAGAAAACGGCAAAGACTCTATAATGACATGTATATACGTTTAATATAAACTAAAATCCTATTCAATATAAAAATATTATAGCACAGAAAAGGGGGTTGAATACATGTATCATTAACAGTCCCAAAATTCCAAAGTATTTTATAAAATCTAATGAGAAACAAAGTTTGTCTTCGTAGTCATCAATTCCTTGAAACATATTCGTTTCAATTTAAACTAGAGATGCTGTAAGCACTGAGCTTACTAAATGATTCCCAGCCTCCCATATGATTATAATGGAAAAGTCCATGTATTGCCCTGCTGGGGGACCCAAAATAAGCGCCATCAAAATGCAAAAATTTAGAGGTACTGTGAACTCACTAAATTATACCCCCATCCACACCCCCATATAATTATAACGACATTGTCCATGTTTTCCTCTGTGAGACAAGAATCAGATCAAAATGTAAAATAAGAGGTGCACAATGGCATTATGTAATAAAGAATCTGTGAAAGTCTCATTAAATTTTATTCAGTGGTATAGGAGGAGTCATGGATAAGAGCTGGGTACCCTTCAATATTATAGAAAAAGATGACAGTTTTCAGTTTGCTATGGTAGACCTCGAGCTCAAAAGATGAGTTGGATCAAAATGAAAATAAGAGGTCACGATGGCACTATGTAACAAGTATGATGTGAAAGTCACATTAAATTTCATTCAATGGTGTACAAGGAATTGCGTGTAAGATATGGGTATTCCAAAGCGTAACAGTCGGACTGACAGACGTTGGGACACTCAGATTACTACCATATACATGTACCCATCCACCTTTCAAGCAGTGATATTATAAGGAACTTTGTTTGTATTTTCTGAAATGGGTTAGTTTTGCCGGTGGATAGGCATATTTATGTCAGTTCTCTATGAGATTAATAAAACATGTGCACGTGATAGATAATACTGTCCAGGGCTTTGATCTACTGCCAGAAAAACACAATGTTATTTCGCCAATTTTTTTACAGAACCACGCCGTCCGTACTGTATCTAGTTATAACTGTGTGATTGTCTGAAAAGCATTGTATAACATAAGTGATTGCATGACTTTTATCAAAATGACCAGGACTTATAAATGTTTATCCTCTTTTTTCTAACGCATCACGTCTCTTTTGATTTGTTCAAAAATAATTACGTTAAAAAAAATATGCCAGAGCATGTTTCTACCATTATGAAAACTTGCAGAGATTTGTACTATTTTGTTCAATCATCAAGAAATTCAAGGATATTACAGATTGAAATGGAAAAGAGAAAAAGAAACAATATTTATTTAATTATTGGTTTGTTAATAATAATAATAATAATAATAAATACTTTATTTAAAGAAGGTAACCTGGTTAGTGCATGCACTATTCTTCCCCAGGGCCTTCTATATATATCAAATACAAAAATATACAGAATACAATTCATCATATATAATAGTAATATGTTTTAGGAATTATAATCACACGATTATGAATATAGTGTCCATGTATATTTAATTAACAATCATAATACAATATACAATATCGAAACCTTATTGTGCTCAAATAATTGTGCGGCAGCTGATGATGTAATTTTCTATATTACGCTTAAATGTTCGTAGTGATTGAGAGAGTCTAATGTGTTGGGGAAGTTTATTCCACAGATGTACACCTGAATACTGAAAAGATGTCTTGAATAAGTTTGTACGAAATTTCGGCAGTCTTAGATCATAATTACTTTGTCGAAGGTTATAAGAAGATGTTGAATGAAATTCAAATAAATTGAGTCGTTCCACTGAAAATTTTGTATAATAATATGTATTTGTATAGATCAACTAGCTCATAAACTGTTTCCAAGTTTCTCAAACAGTGGTTTAGAAGAAGAATCGGGACTTGCGTCAAGAATAATCCTTGCTGCCCTTTTCTGTAATTTAAATAGTCTGTCCATGTCCTGCTTGGGGGCATTACCCCAGATAGTCAAACAATAGTTAATGGATGGTAAAATATAAGCATTGTAATATAGTTTTCTGGTATGTAGAGGGAGAAATTTCTTAATCCTTCGAAGAGTAAATAACTTATAATTTACCGTTTTACAAACCGAATCAATATGATTTGCATACTGTAACTTATCATCAATATGTACACCAAGAATTTTTTCAGTTTCAACCATTTCAATTGTTTTGTCTGAGACATAAAGTTGTAAATTTGGATTATCTAATTTTGATTTTCTTTGCTGTGTTCCCATTAACATACATTTTGTTTTATCTACATTCAAAACCATTTGATTTTGAGCACACCATTTCTCAATCTCACTAAGGTCTGAATTTAGTGTATTTTCTAAACATCTTGCATTATTATTATTAGAATACAGAGTTACATCATCAGCAAACATATCAATATTTGAATTGTTTACATGTAATGGAAGGTCATTTATGTACAATAAGAATAAAAGTGGGCCTAAAATTGACCCTTGTGGCACTCCTGCTGTGACGGGTAGAATATTGGAGACACATGATCCAAATTTAACACACTGGGTCCTATCGTAAAGATATGATTTAAACCACTTTATAGCTGTTTGGTCAAATTTGTAATGGGTTAATTTCTCTAGAAGAATATCATGATTCACTAAATCAAATGCTTTACTAAAATCTATAAATGTAATACCGATTAGTTCACCACGATCCATTGCAGTAAGCCAACTTTCTGTTAGTTTTGTAAATGAAGTTTGACAGGAATGGAGTTCTCTAAACCCTGACTGGGATTGTGTTAGTAGATCAAATTCATTAGTGAAATTTTGTACTAGCTTAGCTACATGTTTTTCTATCAATTTAGATATGTTGTAATAGCATTGACATATTCGAGCTTGACACTGTCAGCTATAATCTTCTACACATTGTCTAACAAATTACTAAAGCTCGAGAATCCATATTATTAAAAAACCTGTTGCGGTTGATACATCATAAAACTCGTGATGATTGTAAAATAATTACAAAAAAGTTTGATTTCATGCCAATTCTTTTTTCCAATGCATCATGTTGTCATATCTAAAAGTGTTCTCTTATCATAACCCTGTTTGAAAAGTGTGGGGGATATACATGTAGTGATCGGGATCTATGTCCGTCTGTTAATTAGATTTTGGGTACCCATCTCTTATCTTCAACTCATCTTATACCTATTAATGAATTTTTGATTTGGGTTAATGAGATGTTCATAGAATCTTTGTCACATAGTGCCATTGTACATCTCCTCTTTTAACTTTTTGATCCGACATATTTTGGATTTCCCAATTAGGAGAACATGGATACTGTCATTCTTTCTATAATACTGATGGGTACCCATCTCTTATCCGCAACTCCTTCTATCCCATTGAATAAAATTTGATTATACATTCATATTTTCGTGATTACATAATGCCACTGAGCTGACACTTATTTCGGGTCTCCAAGTGCAAAACATGAACTTTGACATATATAATAATCATTTGGGAGGCGGGGTAGCATTTAGTAAGCTCAGTGCTCACAGTGCCTCTAGTTAATATTTTTTATTTGTAAAATGTATTTTATAGAATTGCAGGTATCAACAAAAGAATATGATTGTGTTTATTTTTTGTCAACTATATAGATATATAACAAATTCAAACAAGTGCTATTTGTCTGTTTGGTTTAGATGTGTTTCATGACATACATGTACAAAGTAAAAATTCAAACCAGATACGATTTAAATGATTTTTATATTACTTATTCTTATTTTAGTGAATGCTTTTTGATGATCTTGCAAAGGAAAAAAGCTATTAGGCTTATAAGTTAATGAAAGGAAGCAGTTATCTATCTTTAAAAAAATGTATAATATACGGAACAGATATTGTAGAACAATACAAAACTATAAACATTGTATAAACAGACCCCCTCCCATATTAAGTAGATATCCCCTTACTTCATCAGATAAAGTGTGAGTGATTTACCGACACATTTTCATCCCCGGAAGTTTGCGTTCATCGAACAATTAATATATCAATAATAGTCTAAAAACTTTATATTCTCGAGAAAATTTTGTAACATACCGTTGTGCGAGACATCCGGCTGACACTGAACCTACTAAGGTTAACAGAAGTTGTACAAAAAACACCCATTGTAGTTCCCGTAAACTGGCGCTCGTCTGACACCCGAGGTCAAATAAAGTAGGTCCAAGTATTGCTACACCCATCCCAAAACTTCCAAACACTAGACAATCAGTCATAACCGACACCCAATTTTCCCGCCAAAGAGACCGGAAGTGAGGTTTACTGCTCAGTTCCTCTGTTGCTCGAGAGTCAAAGGGCGCGGATGCTGTGTCCATGACCGGAGTACTTTGGATATCCATTTTCAAATAAAAAGTATTTTATCCAAAAGAACCATATTTGTAGAGAGGTGATAGTTAAATAAGAATAAGCACAATGATTTCACATGACAGTCTTCATCTTGCGTTTGTTCTCTGTCATTCCTCTGAAGGTCCAGATATTTTAATCGTCAATGCTGCACACTTCAATTCAGAAAACTTAGCAATCGATAACCCCCGAGAACGCCTGAACAGCACACCTGGCCTCCCTTCGGAGACTAGATAATCTGTCTGCATCAGCGCTCTACACAGACTTGAATTATTGATGTTGTTTATTGACGTACGTATACATTTAATAATGCAGAGTATATCAATCTTGGCCTGGGTTAATAATTTTCCGTTCGGTTAAGCTACTTTTATTATGGTTTGTGGTAGGTTTGACTAATTCACCCCTTTTTGTGTTGATTATTTTTGTTTCAGTAACATTTTATTCAATTTTGAATTCCTGTTTAGAAGTTTGTTTAGTTGAACCTTTAATTCTATTAGATTTATTTCACGCATCAAAATTTTAACTTAACAAATGATCTCACTTTGAAATAATTAAGAACGGATTTTATTAAGTCCATGTCCTGTATGTTAATTTTTTTTCCTGGAAGATTTATTGCGAGGGAAACTATGTATTTACTTTTCAGTGCAAACATTATCAAAGGCAATACAAGTGCTAAGTATAACCGCCCCAGTATTATATAACTATTGTCTTCCCTAAAGTTTTATTTTAAAATAATTTAATTCTGGTTGTAACGCTGTATTTAATTGGATAAAAAATTTACTTTATATCGTATAAAATGGGTTGTCTACGTCACAATAACGTATCCATCCGCCTGACGTTACATTCAAATTTGTACAAATTGAAGTCATTTTGTTAGAGCATTCATCTTTTTTTCTTACATCAAATGAATGAACATTAAATTATAAGCAATGAATTTAATAACTACCCATTTTATATGGTATAAACTTTGTTGGAATAATTTACGCTTTTTTATAAACCGCTTCGCGGTTTATAAAGCGTAAACAGTCCCACCCAGTTTATACCGTATAAAATGGGTAGCTATTAAATTCATTCCTTAAATAAATTTTGTTGTTTTCTAAATAACAATTGTGGAAAGACAGTCTTTTCTTGCAGTCTAGTTTCATTGAATACAGTTTCAGAATACTACGGTATCCCCAAAATTGGATTGTTTCTGAACTAAGAATTTAACACAATTATTTTTGAAATTCAACATATTATGTATGCATGTGTAATACAATGATTGTGTGTTCAAGGTTCTTTATTCCACATTAAGAAACAAAAAGTTGACAATGTTCCTACAATAATATAATAATAATAATAAATTTTGTACAAGTCTCAGTATAAAAATCTTACGTTTACAAATCGTTTAAAGTATTTAAAATAGTTGTCAATAATTATTTTGTCTTAATTCATTACTCTTTATAACATTCATTTCATAATAAATAATGTCATAAAATTTATACACACAGTATTTATATAAAATAAACTAACACATTACCTATGCAAGGGGCATATGTGACGTTTACAGCATATAGTTACAGTATCTGGTTCATTAATGCATTTATTCAAGAATAAAAATACACAACTATAGATATTATATGATTAAGAAAAACTTGCAATTATTTTAATCTTACGAGTACTACAATCTCCCATGTAAACAATGAACACTCTGACTTCAATAGAGAGACTATTTAGAAGTTAAAAATATCTTTAAAATAAGTTTAAAATACCTCTATATGCATGCTTATAATATTTGCATACTTATTTGTTACATGCACAATGCAAGTTGCAATTATGAATAATCAATTTTCATAAAATTCTACTGACATTCACTCTGATAATTTCCCGCCAACAATGGCTAGGAAAGCACAATAAAGGACCAGCATGCAACAGAGTGTCCCAAGTGACATCACCAAAAATATTCACAATTATTTCCAAGCTTAACTTTTCATAATATAACAATACTTTTAATAAGAACCTAAAATAGTAACAATTGATAAAAAAAAAATAAACCATTTCAGTAAATACCAAAAATGGTATATTGCTAGAGTCTAACACAACTTTTCTCACTTCTTGTCAGGTGTTCTGATCTTTGATTCCATCAATTCTCCCTCTTACACATGATCATAAATTATTATGGAAATTAAAATATTAACTTCCATTTCAGCAGATAATATGCTTACTGTAACATCATAAAGATAAGATAAATAAGCTTTATTTATATCAATATGGTATCAAAAAACATAGCATAAGCTCAATGAGCTTTTGATTGACATTGTTAAAATATATATAACAGTAAAGCAGCAATGAAAACATGCAGCACACAATATAAACATAGAATTACTTGTAACAGTACAGCACACAGTCTTATTTAGTGGACATATCTGTTAAAGATACATATAAAAGACACACATGTATAGACACACAAACAATACAGCACATATATATAGGGGATGCAACAAATAGAGATACATACATAAAACGCACCTTTACAGACACGAATACAGTTCATCACAGAGACATAACAATAACAAAATCATGAACATACGATCGTATGAAGGAAACTCATCATAAAATTATGAAATTTCCAAAATTAATTTTTTTATGTGGTATCTAGTATCTTTAAATAAATTTCTTTATCTGGCTTTAATTTTTAGAATAAGAGGTAGAATACTTGCTAAAATTATGGTAATATGTTACTTTCTTCGTCACAGAAGTGCCCCACTTCACTTATGTTATAAAAGTATATATAACCAATATCGACACAATATTTCATGTATCAGCATCTGCTTTATAATTTTTTGTGCAAATAAAAAAAAATATCTATGCATATTTCTTTTTCCCTTTCCCAATTTGTTTACTAAATCCTATAACGAAAATTAATAGACAAAAACTATTTTAAAAAAAAGAAAAAAAACTAAATTGAGCAACACACATTTCAACAAGACTTTACACATCCTTGACAATTCCAGAGGTTGGTTCAGGTGCCCAGGTAGGAGGAAGTAGGTACATGTATCCTGTAGATCTATTATGAGACTTGTGTGATGATCTGGTGGAAGAATCATTTCTTAGCTAAAGTGCTTTTGAAAAAATAAGGTCTATCAAATGATATAAAATGTATATCAACAAAAATACGGTCAAGTCATAGGCTTTATTTTTTTAACAAGATTGTTTTAACTAATGAAACATTATAACATATAATTGACGAGACTATGATTTGAAACGAGATTGTTTTGCAATCCTGGAAATATCAACCTGTCTGCAAGAACCCTGCTATTTTTTGAAATTCATTTTTGTTAGATTGGTCATTGTTAGTATGTTGCTTAAGAATATCCGATCCTCACCCAGGAAGGATAACTCCAAAAATTAATATCTAATTTGAAATACATCAAAATAAAGCTTGAAAATGAAATATTTTCATGCAACAATTTTCATTTTATTAATTTTTATAAGATTCAAGCTTTTTGGAAGTCGTAGAAAAGGTCTTATAAAAGTTGACATTGGTACCCTATAAATGGAAAAAATTAATACAGTTTGAAAGAAATAAGATTTTCTTGATTATTAGCATGATACGAAATAAGAAGTGATTTGTGGTGTGTTGCAATGATAGCAAAAACTTTTTATTCTATGTATTATAGAATACATGACGGAAATAGAAGACAAGAAATTCCAAATAAGCATAAAAATAATGACAATTTCTTTGATTGCCTGGATTCCTGTCGTTTTGTAACCTAAAATATATTTTGTTGATCAATTTACAATTCGAAAATGCATTGCTCATATTCCAATTCGCTTTTTCTGCTAAAATATGGGAGATTTGACATTTTTCCCTTTGTAATATGATTGACTTCACTCTTTAAATTTAAAGAAATACTGTGGATAAATTTACATAACTTTGTGGATTCAGAGATACGTTCATGAGTATTTTTGATTACTTAACTGCTAAATTTATAAACCTGAGGATCGGACTACCTTAACGATCATATCGAGAATTTTCACTCATGTGTATCGATTATGTTGGGAGTTGTAAACACTATCTGCAGAGGAAAACAGACTATTAATAAAAAGAGAAAAACAAAGATGGAAAAGATACCATCATCTTATTTGTCATACAATTTAGTTGTTAATTCGCCCCTAAACTCATACATGTAGTCAGTTAAACATTCAAATATGAAAATGGTGTGCCAGATTACAAGTTGACTGGAATACATTAGTTTTCTTATTAACATTTGCTCAATTCCTAGCCAAACACAGTGGGAGACTCGGAGTAACATAAGAATAGCCAGTAATTTTTAAGTTTAATGTAGGAAAAATAAATCCTTTTGTTATACCTTAAAAAATTTGTTCCTATACAAAAATATATTATAAATCCAAAATTTTTTTTGTAACCCGCTCGGAAATTAACTTACGCAAGCTTAGTTGTTAGCCAAGGCAGGGTTTGTGGATGTTACATTATAAATACCGAAATTTTTATATACAACCTCTAATGAATTCAAGAAATCATTAATATATCAATATAAAAAGCCAGGCAGTACATGTCCCTGCCATACGCCCTGTCTTATTTTAAACCATTAAGATAATTGACAGTCATTTTTATTTACATTATCCATTATTTAAATATATAACGTAGACGTACTTTTTTCCACGGGGTCATAATTCCGCGGAATCACAATTTCTGTTTAATCCTCGGGTAGAAAATCACGCGGATTTTCTAGTGTGTCAATATATGCCTTAAATTTATATCAAGTACGCTGTGATAAATTTCGCGGATTATTTGTGACCGCTTACATAGCGTAAATTAATACCACGCGGAAAAAAGTACTTCTACAGTATAAAAACATTAAATGTCTAAAAAAGCAAAATACAAAGGATTTTAGCACACACATAAACACATCCATATATCCACTCACACATATGATGTGATAGTCATGCATATTCCAATCCGCTAGGCTTTTCTTCCCAATCCAAGTGCATCTTATTGTCCTTTCCTGTGCACGGGTCTCTTTTACTTTTCGTCCAGCATGTTGAATGTAGATCGTGGGATAAGAAGTATCTGCGCTTGATATTAGGCATTTAACAAGGCATCTATAGGCGGTCATGCGTGTATAACTACAGTTTACGCATGTCCTTCATCTTCATCAATATTCATAAAAGTATTGAATAGCAGTTCATGCTTAATTGTTCCGTAAAAACAACATCTTATTTTGTAAATTTAAAAAAAAACTATTACATTATATTTCATGTTTTTTACATTATTCTAGACCAAATACGGCGTTTATAAAGTGTCTATTTATTTAAGTATTTTCATTTGCACACAGGTATTTATTGAACCAATCTTCAAAATTTCAGATCTCAAATTGTAGAACAGTAGCGCTACACATCAGTATCTGCACATTGGATTTCTTTTATATAATTTTTACACAGTAATAGCATATTTATTTCATATCATAAGAATTGTGTTGTACAAAACACACAAGTAAAGATGTTATCATTCGATACAATGAAAATTAAAACAAAATATCAAATATTATTTTGAGATTACAGTACTGCTCGTTTTCTCTTTATATTTCATAACAAACTAATGCTGTTTCACAATATTAACTACATAATTTATGTTTATGAAAGGGTTGGTCATATCTCTACATATGTTGTCCGAATGAAAATCGACTATGCTTTTGTGAATACAAAACCAGTCCCTATTAGTCCCCACTGCATTTATTAAAGAACTGCATCTTTGACGCATACTTATAAATTATAGAAAGACGACGACGGGTTTTTGTTGCTGTCTGTAGACATTTATTATATACAGTATTTGTACAGTTATAAAAATGTTTGTTTTGTTCCCCAACAAATTGAGTAATGCAAATTTCTATTGAAAAAGTTAAAAAATATTAATCTCAACAGTCGTTTGAGTGAGCCACATACATTAAGAATGACATTTTTTAGTTTGCAGAAGCTTTAAACGATAATTCCTCAACAACAATAGTAAATTCACCAAACTCAAATTTTATCTATTCATATCTTAATATGTGAAAATATTTTAATAACAGTACCATGCCTCGCAGTACAATGCAAATGAATACATAATGTTTAATTGTTTGTTGTAAGTTCATATACTGTTGTTGGTTTATAAAATCTTCCAGCAAATAATATGATGTCATGTACAGAATCTCTGATAAAGAACAGGAAGGGATGATTTGCCCGAAACATTGGTGTATGTTTCGCACACCTGACTGTTACAACGGACCCTGTGGCTGCAGCAGCTTCGGTCCCTTCTTCGTTGACTTCGACAAAGGCTTTATGGAAGACATTGTTTATGCACATTTTCTCCTCTTTATTCATTCCTGTAAAATCAGCCTTTTCCATGTCAAATGCTGAGGGCATACCCAAGGCTGACAAATAAGGCTTTAACTCGAAGGTCGACTCCATTTTGAATTTTGGAAGATATACTTTAACTTCCACATTTCTCAAGTTACCATTTACTGTTTTGAAGACATCTTCAGATAAACTTTTCTCCAGATGCTCTAAACCATCCACGGCGTCGGGTAGAATGATCAGCATGCTGAGGGTTTTTCCCTGGTATGGCAACTCAAGGGCACTAATCATTAGGTCTGGTATGTGACAAAATCTGAAATAGTCCTCTTGATACATCATATCTGTTAAAAAAACCTCCTTTCTTCTGCTTCGGAATTGCATTTTTCTGGTGCTTCTGTTTTCAAATTTTATTTCCCAGTTTCCTTTGAAGTAGATGGCATTTACTAGAACCATGAATGTAAGTTCATCCAGCGCACTTGCTGGAATCAGATCTTGGATTTTATTTTCAGTTTGCTTACTGACCCAGGAGTTAAGAGCAATTCTCTGTAATCACCAAAGTAATTTTGAAAGGGTCTGGCACACATAGTCTCAGATTTTCTTCAAACTTGGCATATAGTATCTTCCTAGGGTAAAACTTATATGTATGGCATAATTTTTTTCTGGACATCCTCCGTTACCATGGTAACCGGGATACAAAATTTCTGACATATAGAGCTAATTTGTTTATGGCAATGTTGCTAAAATCACACTTTTTACACCATCTGTGCTGAACCCATATTTAAGATTAGAACTTTGTTGCTAATTTCTTATAAAACTACAACATCAACACTTTCAATGGATATCTTTAATATGTTTAATAATTATTTGAAAATTTTGTAATAATTTGTCAAACAATGGCAAAATATCAACTTTTCAAAATTTGGCCAAAACTGAAAAATTACAACATTTTGGGAAGAAAAATAAAAAATTAGCAGAACTTTCACAATATATCACCTATTTCTTCTGAAGGTACTTGTCACAAATAATGAATATATTCAAAAACATTCATGGGCAAATAACAACAAATGTTGACTATAACAAAATGAAAAATCATAAAATTGGCATTTCACCAAAAAACAGCTTTGATGAACATTTCATATAACAAGATATATTTTTCTTTTTAAAATAAAAATTCAAGGAATTTAAGCTAAAAATTTGTAAAATCAATTAGATATTGTCAACTGAACCATAAAAAAATTATTTATTCATATCTATAGGCAAGAATATGATCATAAATATAAGCCCCCCCCCCCCCCATTTCTAGCACAATACAAAAATAATAGTCCTCTATTACTCATTACTGCAGTTAATAAGGCTGCATCATAATTTATAAATTATATGCTTTTATAATATATAAACATGAAACAAAATCCAAAACACACAACAAGAGGCCCATGGGCCACAACGCTCACCTGACCACTGTGGCTAGGAAAAAGAGGAAATTGGTTTTATTATTGAAAAGTTTAAATCCAAAAGTGAACCTTAAGTTTCATTTTTCCTGGCACAGTGGTTCTTGAGAAGAAGATTTTTAAAATATACCACCAAATTTTCATTAATTCCCAATTATCTCCCCTTAAATAAGGGCGCCGGGGCGTGGCCCTTCATTTGAACAAACTTGAATCCCCTTCACCCAAGGATGCGTTGTGGCAAATTTGGTTGAAATTGGCCCATCAGTTCTTGAGAAGAAGTCGAAAATGTGAAAAGTTTGAAGACAGACAGATGGACAGACAGACAGACGGACGCCAGACAAAATGTGATCAGAAAAGCTCACTTGAGCCTTCGGCTTAGGTGAGCTAAAAATGACATAGTTAGCTGCTACGTATGATAGGACAAAAGGCTACAAAGCATTACAATTAAGACAAGTACTGTTAGCTTAATGTGAATTTTTTTTCAACCTTTATCAAAATTATCAACTACAGTATATTTTAATTAGAAAACTATATCATATGAAATTTAAAGAAGCTCTAAACAATACATGTGTATCAAGAAGTGATCTGCAGACTTTCAATTAAGGAAAAAAATATCATATGCACATTGAGACAATTAGTTAATTTTCAACAAGTACATGTACCTACATTATTTCTAAAAGAAATATGTTATGAATTATTCATAAACAGAAAACCAATTGTTGACTATTGGGAAAGTTAATGTTAATATTAATCAATTGGAAAGCAACCATTTTTTTTCTATCAGACTTCTAAGGGGAGATCACTCTTACTGTATTAAACTACTCCTTCAAGTAGAGCTCATTAGTGTGCTGTTAAGAGCTTCCTTAATTAAGGGACCTCACTGAGTCACTTAGAAATATGGTTGAATCTTGAGGATTTCCAGTATGGAGACACACATGAATATTCTCATTTCCAATTACATCTTCAGGTGACATTGCTCCTCAGCTACATTGCTCCTCATTTGGGAAACTAAATTATTAGTAACAGACATCATGGTACTTTCTAAGGAAAAAATTTAATGCCCTGATATCTCCAACTTCTAAGGCTTCATCGTTTTTTGGAGATTTTATGATATTCAGCTTTACACTTTACTTTGAACTTCATGATGTTGCATCTTCACTCATATATTTTAGATGACTTTTTTCTACCTGCAGAAGTAAATACAATTTTCAATATCTTCAAATGAAGACAAATATCAAACTGAATTAAATACATAATTAGATTAAATACATAAATGTAAAAGCAAACCCTAAATCAAGAGGTGTTTTTCTAATGATCATTATGACAGTTGTTCAAGTTAAACATGTTTTCTTTGATACATGCATATATTATTATGGTTTTAAATCATTTTGATCAATAAAAGAGAAATGAGCAGACCATATACTACATGTAGTGTTGTGCTTTTCTAACAATTTAGATTTGATTTTTGAAACTGGTTACCTTGAAGAAAATGCATCTATAAGCTGTCCCAGTTCCTGAAATTGTCTTTTCCAGAATCAATTTCTTTGTATAACCATGATTTACATGTATATATGTTCTTGTTCCTTTTTCTTTTCATCCTCTTTGGTGAATACTTTTAAAACAAAAAAAAAAAGAATAAAATTTAATTTTTGTTAAAAATGACTAAATTCAAGATAATAATTAATTAATTTTATAATAAAAATCAATCTATATATTAATTATTTTCCTGTCAACATGATCAAAAGGAAAGTCATATTATCCTTACAAAAATATGTACAGGTCAAGCACTATATAAAAAGACATATTTTAATGCGATTTAAGTTATAGTTTTGCATACCGCGTAATTCTACAAGTTGTACACAATGTATAGACTCGCAAGTACACATAGATGAGAACTTGTACTTCTTAAACTCAACTACAGAATATTTATTTTTCATCTGGTGTTTGGTATGAATTTGTATATTTATTACATACATCCAATGTATCTTTTTTTTATTTCAAGTAATAGATTTATTTGATACAAATGGATTGAAAAGTGTCGTGCTGAAATGATGTTTTACACATACCGGTACATTGCTAAACAGAACGCGATGTAAAATCACGGCTAAGTTTACATGTAGAGGTAGACGTACACGGTAAAATGCTTAACCTCTCTATTGACAGAACTATTTACTTTTAGTTTTATACACTTGTATATATAAAGGAGTATGTGTATTACCGGTATATAATATGGCTGTAATGTATAAGGATTTACTGTTATACACAAAGATTTCATCATACCATGATTTTTCATCTTCAAATATTTTTATACACCTGTTTTTTTTTCTTTTCTGAAAAGGGAAACTTTCACTAAATGTGAAGAAGATTACATTGATTGTAAAGTGTCTCTTAGTCTTCAGAATTTTTAATACAAATATGGAAAGACCCACCACTTGCCGTTAGAGAGATACAAATTTTGTCCTATACTTGTCACTCATGACCATTGAGCAGTGAGGGATTTTTTAGTTCAAGTGCGTACTGGCTACTGCCACATGGGACCTCAGTTTATATGATAGCATCCGAAGGGATGGTCTCCACGTCTCACAGTGGGATATGAATCTGCGATATAAGCATAAACTCCTTACTTTGCAATTCTAGAGCAGACGCTCTAAACACTGCACTGCGCAAGCGACTTAGAAGTTGCTTTGAAATATAGGCCTACAGCTATCTACCTAGCCAAATCCATTGATTGTACTGGACCTGGTTATAGAAAGAGATTGTGTCTGACCTGATTCATGTCTTCATGGTCTGCCATCAACATGTATTTTTATGCAATTATGTATTTAAATGTACCGTGGAGAGTCAGGACAGAGGTCCCTTCAGGTGTCACAATTTTCATAGCAGAGGAATCTCGGGTTACATGCATGCAAACCAATAAAATGGAGAAAAAAGTATACATACTTAGCATTTGTAATATTTATAATTACCTCTTGTCTTCTTATGTATTATATCTTGGCCTTTCTTCCTTCTTCCACACTGCCAATCCTTCCCCTGGACCCGCTTTGATAAGTTTTCTCACCAAACTATTTATTTACCACAACAAGTGCCTACATATTGTACCTCCAAACGCTAGAGAGTAATCCAAGGGAAGTAATTTGGAAGCAAAAATGCTTCAAAATGCAGAAAAAATGGATATTCACCTTTGAATTTCTTTTACACATATCATTTGCCCACCAATTTTTTAATTGTTTAAATATAACCAAATATCAACCTCTCATGTTTTATTATTATTTAATTTGTAGATGCCTGCATTTTTTTGTTTTAAGTCTGTAAAAATTGATAAAAATTTACTATATTTTTGACATTTTGCAATGCATAACATGACCACTTACAGGTGTAAAATTAAAATTGAAATGTAAATATTCTTGTTTGAATCTCTAATTGGATAACAACAATAAACACAAATTTAGATATTTCTGTTCATTTCTAGACATGGTTTTTCATGAAAAGTACAGATTTTCATGATTTACAAAAATGAGAAAGTTTGCATCCCGTTTCTATGGCAACCAAGTTTACATTTAAAAAACTATTTTTAGATTTTATAATCACTCACACACCTGTATTAAATTATGATATAAAAATTCAAATCTGTAACTATGCGTGCCAAAATATTTTGGTGATTACAGAGAATTGGTCTTAATGCTTTTGCTTGCTGCTTCAGACTGAGAGAAATCCACGCTCTCTAATGTAGCTTTAAAATGTTTGTTGCAGTCTTTTAGGAAAGATTTCTCAGGTTTGAACCTCATGCTTTGATAGATTCTATTGGCAGTTTTAAGAGTGCAATCACCGGTTTCCTTTGTCAAGAAATCCAGATAAGAGCCAAATGCTGCATGGACATCTTTGTCCATTTCCTCAAAATGAAGGGCTTGAGTCATTTCTTTTAGGGTTTCTATTCTTGCTCCCAGATGAGCCATTGCTAGGGCTGTTGAAATGCTGAACGGCGAATAGAAGATATTGGATTCTGATGGTAACTGCTTCAGTAGACTTAGCATGAATCTCTTGTTAGCTCTGGAGAAAGATGCAGACAGTTCTTTAGTTGGAAATGCTGCAGGCGCTTTTTTGTTTGAGAAAGGTAATCTAATTGCCATTTTGTACTTGGTACAATAAACTACCGCAAGCATAAACACTAAAATCCTTTTGCAAATTCTGGATATGAAGATGAAACTTTTGTGTCTGGTTTAGTTTAATCTGAAACGATTAAGTTAATAAATTACCTTTACAAAATTAGCAAAATTTCTGTTCTTTAATTTTCAAGGAAATATTCGAAATGTAGCAAATATAACAATATAAACTAAGAGTGAGTACATTTTTACCACCCAAAGATTTTACGCATCAGCAGGTTTTTTTTTGCTACAACTTCAACATGTATCTGTCATAAAAGGACTATTATATAGCATATCCTGCATGTTATCCTGGATAATCGGCAAAATGTGCTCGTAACAATACATGTGTGAATGATTTTATGTCACTACGCATTATCAATACGCTCTTACATGTAAATACGTTGTATTGCAATTGATCTATTTCTTTTTCTCTTTTATCAGTAAGTTAATCGACGCCTCAAATTTCGAACTTTAAAAACAAGTTTCTTTAAAAGTGAAAAAGATGGTGGTAACGAACAGTTATATATTTTTTTCAAAAATAGTTCCGTGAACAGAAGAATCAACACAAAGCATGGAAAGCTGGATCAGGCGACTGGGTAGAATAATGAGGTATTGTTTTACTTTTAAAATATTGAATTGTGACTATTGAAAAGAAAATTATTGTTTATTTGCGGTTTTCAAGTTTGAATTTTTTCAGTGGAAAGGGTCTCTCATGACACAAGATTTCAGAATGTAACTATAAAAAAATACCAGCTTTTGGGATATAGCCTGGAAGACGTCACCTGATTTAGGACACTCAGTGCTTTGATATCACACTGCATTGCCACAATGCACCTCTAGTTGATGATGTATATCTATCATTTTAATGTATGTGTATAAAAATAGATTATATGAACATAAGAAGGTTTTTCGTCATTTGTTCTTAAATTAATGCTAATTTTTTAAATAATATAAGAATACTCTAGTGTGTTAAGCGTAAATTAATTGTGTGATTTAAATTTCATGTAATTACCTGAAAAGGTTTGTCCCCACAAAATATTCCTCCTTCATATACTCTCACAGATTTTAAATGTGTTTACATGCAGAAAGTCGGGAAGCAAAAATAAATGTACACCCAGTCTTTGTTTGGGTGTTTAACTTTTTTGTATGAAATGCGCAGTTCAAAATATAAAACAATTTACGACCGTGACGAGAAATATCAAGTTTCGATTTGCGGAGGAGTTTCAGTCTATGGTCCTTTTACATATTAACAAATGAAATACACTGTACAGAATGTTTTGATATCCACATTTTGATATAATGTTCGACAAAGATTTGAACAATGTTACAATGTCTTATTGATCCAGGTGATATGTGAAGAATAAAAAACAATAATAATTAAGCATGATGAACAAATAATATGAAGGGTTGTCCAATAATGTTCCAACCCAAAACAAAATTTCAAGTTACGCAAATTTTCCCTTATAATTCCCCCTTTCATCCAGCAAAACAGACTGACAATTTTTTTTTCCTGTCAAGAATAGTCTTAAAAGTTCCAGATACGACAGGTAATGTTTATTCTTTCCCGGTTATTTCGTTCCATTTGGCCAGGACTTCAGTAAATGTAAACAAGTAAGATGGCATGAACTCCTTTTACTGACTTAATGTCTTAATGAATTGGCTCGGTGAATATTTTGCTCCTCAGATGGTTTAATCATCATATTCACTTAAAAACAGCAAAAATTGTAACGAACACAGAGGGTTGAATAAATAATGGCCCCAAGTTGCTATTTTAATTAACTTTTTTCAGGTGGGAGAGAGAGAGAGAGATTTCATTGTACATCCATTATGGAAAAATATCCCCCAAAATTCAAAATTTCGAACGCTTTACCAGGTTAAAGTATATGATAGGTTCCCATCTGCTTAATTACTAGACAATTTCCGACCCTTACACACAATGTTACTTCATGTACATTCAATTTTATAGTTTTTCGTTTGTTTGTTATTTTTCTTTTCTTTTATGTTTTTTTCTTTTTTTCTTTTAGAAAATTATTTTTTTAAATCAGAAATGGTCGTTTAACAAAAAAATACTTATATTTATGCATATCAAATTCATGATGTTTCATTTTTTCAGAACTTTTTAAAAAATACATAAAATCTTAGAAACTTTGCTGTGTGACTTATTTACACTCCATTTCATGACAAGATAGAAGTCGAATAGCATTTTCCAAAATTGTTTTACATTGTGTTATATAAATGGTTTTATCAGAAGAAATCTATCATCGTTTTCTGCTATTTGAAATACTTATTATTGTCTGCTTTGATCCCACTGTAGGATGTGGAGACCGGTCCTTCGGATGAGACCGTATAAATCGAAGTGCTGTGTCGCATTGGAAATAGGCACAAAAAGTACCCTCACTGTTCAATAGCCCTGAATGCCGAGTATAGTACGAAATTTAGAGCTCTCTTTAATTACCGGTGTCTCTATATGATCTAAGAATTCTTGAGAAGAAGGTTCAATAATATACAGTCAATCAATCATACAGGAAGCATAATTACATAAGAAGAAAGGTTTTCTAATTGAGGTAACTTTTGCTGACCTACCTTCGACAGTTTTTGACAGAAGTAAGGTAAAAAGAGAGTAAAATCGGGCAATTTTTTTTTATTTTTAACTTCCTTGTATGAAACGCGCACCTCAAAATACATTATGTCGACAAAATAGATTAAGAATGATTGGCAGTTTTTGTCATGGCTTTATTGATTAATAGTCAAATCAATCATCAATACAATCAATAGTCAAAATCAATCATCAATACAATCAATAGTCAAATTAATCATCAATACAATGAATACAATGATGTACACAAGGTATCTCTACAATGATGTACATAAAGTATCAATTCAATGATGTACATAAAGTATCAATTCAATGATGTACACAAAGTGTATATTGAATAATTAATACACAATGGGTACAATGATATTCAATGATAAACAATGATATTCAATCAATGATGTACGCAAAGTGTATACATGTATTTACACAATGGGTACAATGATATTCAATGATATGCATTGATATGCAACGTTATGCAATAATATGCAATGATATTCAATGATATACAATGATATTCAATGATAAATGAATTGCAATGAGCAGGTAGCAATGTATTACAAAGACAATGGTCTACGTCGACTTTATCAATAGTATATGACGTAGAATCAATAGCAAGGGCACAATGACGGAAGCTCAATTATTGGCCACTGGCCCTGGAAGATAACAGGATCAGCAGCGAGCTTCTAGCAAAATTCGATTCAGCATTAAAAAACAGCCTGTAAGAAGACCATATACTTTGCATTTCAATGAAACGTAATAAAGCCATGACGCTAACGGGTTCTTTTGGTATCCAAAGGAACGGAAGTTATGGATCCTATCGCTGGTAGCCAAGGGAACGGCAGAAATGGATTCTTCTGCTTGAGGTCAAAGGAATGGATGTAATGGATTCTTCTGCTGGTGGCCAAAGGAATGGATGTAATGGATTCCTCTGCTGGTAGCCAAGAGAATGGATGTTGACTGAAAAAGGAAATCAAAGACAGCAGCAACATTTTGTTGACAAAAAAGAAAAATTCATCAAAATCTTGTAAATTGGGAGAGGTGGGTGGGATGCTGAGCTTCAATGGATGACGGAAGATGGAAAGGAAGAGCAAATGCACATGCGTAATGGATGTGGCTAAATGAAGTCAGTGCATTTGAGTGAGAGTTATCTTCCCTAAACTTTTTATCTCTATTTGTCTCCATAACGGGACTTAACTCATATTGAGTTAAGTCGGATTATGTCGACAAAATAGATTAAGAATGATTGGCAGTTTTTGTCATGGCTTTATTGATTAATAGTCAAATCAATCATCAATACAATCAATAGTCAAAATCAATCATCAATACAATCAATAGTCAAATTAATCATCAATACAATGAATACAATGATGTACACAAGGTATCTCTACAATGATGTACATAAAGTATCAATTCAATGATGTACATAAAGTATCAATTCAATGATGTACACAAAGTGTATATTGAATAATTAATACACAATGGGTACAATGATATTCAATGATAAACAATGATATTCAATCAATGATGTACGCAAAGTGTATACATGTATTTACACAATGGGTACAATGATATTCAATGATATGCATTGATATGCAACGTTATGCAATAATATGCAATGATATTCAATGATATACAATGATATTCAATGATAAATGAATTGCAATGAGCAGGTAGCAATGTATTACAAAGACAATGGTCTACGTCGACTTTATCAATAGTATATGACGTAGAATCAATAGCAATGGCACAATGACGGAAGCTCAATTATTGGCCACTGGCCCTGGAAGATAACAGGATCAGCAGCGAGCTTCTAGCAAAATTCGGCCATATGTCTTCACATGGGAGCTAATAAAGCGCGGCATGTGGAGACATCCGCCACATGCGGCAAATTTTGCCCATGCCATGACAAAACTGCTATTTACTACAATTATGCAAAATTAATTACTGCTTGATATGTATGCAGTATACCGTAGAACTAGGGAAATTTTATATGAAGATCAATAATATATGTAATGATGGATAAATTTTCAATAGATCAATAGTTGCAAAAATCTATAATATATGTAATGATCAATAACTGTTCAATAATTCAATAGATTAATAGTTGCAAAGATCAATAATATATGTAATGATTAATAACTAAATGGAAATGGTAGGTAGCACTGCAAATTTTGACAAATTATTTTGATTTTGTGACACTGAATGGTATAGAGGATAATGGTAGAATGTGCTATATGAGAAAGGTTAGACACCCTCTGGATACAATTTTGATGAGCCCTGTTGAATATTGGGGTAGTGACTATACACTCATCCCCTGTGGTAATGAACCAATATAATGAGCTATTTATCCTAATGCAAGCCTTGTGTGACAACATGGGCCTGAAATAATTTCTTGGCAGTATTTGTGACCCAATGAATTTAAACCTTGGTATTAAACATAATTGAAAACAAGACAGTCAATTTCATAAACTTTTGTAGATGGCAAAGGGACATGGTACCAATACTATTACCCACAATGAATCATTATGACATGAGGGTTGTTGTATTATGACACCAGAGTTTGAATATTTGAATGGTTGGACCTTTTTCCAGGTCATTCCGTGTCGACCAAACCATCTGATATGGATGTTGTATTGTTCTAAATCCAATTTGCATTATCTACATTGATGAATGTGTGGTTTTTTGCATAATACTATTAAAGATGATCCAATAATCCATACCATGACAGAAGTGCCTGCAAACTTAGAATAAATTAAAAAATGGTAAAAAGGTGTTGTCAAGTGTCTGACTGACTAGAATTGAATGTAAGTCTGAAATGCATGGACTTCCAATAATCCATACCATGACAGAAGTGCCTGCAAATTTAGGATAAATTAAAAAACAGTAAAAAGGTGTTGTCAAATGTCTGACTGACTAAAATTGAATGCAAGTCTGAAATGCATGGACTTCCATCTCCCTTTAAACTTTATATAATCTTCAGACAAGCCTGATAAATTCAAGTGTGTAGCACCCCCAATTCTAAGAGTATTACCCTTAAATGTTTTAGTGTCAAAGCCAACAAATGAAATAAATTTCTGTAGCATTAAAGTAAATTGGAATGACGAGAAGGCTTCACACCAAATTAAGCAAAAAACTGAACGTGGAATGTTGGTTTTAATTGACAAGTAGCTGTGAAGTATTTTAAATAATAAAGATGTTTCTTGGTTTGACAAAATGTGGAAGATATATATACATGTATAATTATGCTTTTTTGCATCTATCCATTTAATTAATTAATTAACTTAATTATATTTCTTTGTCTAGCTATTTATTTATTTATTTTTATTTATTTATCTATTTATTTATTTATCTATTTAATCTATTAATTAATTAACTTATTTATCTATATTTAATTGTCTATTTATTTATTTATTATATTATTAACATAATTTTTAAATCATGGGCTAAAGCTGCATTGTGAAATCTTCAGCTACATACCACATTTCCTGATAAAACTTTACTGTTTAACGAAAATTGAATGAGAAAGGCCACAGCATTGAACAATACTGCATTTGAAAGGTGGGCTTCTTGAAATTGACAATAATCAGCCAAACAAATTTTAACTCTTTACAAATGTGCTCTGGGATGAATATGTTTGGCATAATTATTTTTGTTACTTCATACAGATGTATTTCCGCCATTTCCCGTGTAACTTGTATATTATTTT